ATAAATTGAATATATTACTTAGTGAACTCCTCCATTAATGACTAGTCTAAAGTTTGATTCTTCTAATTTTCAATTTTGATTTTGACCTACCAACAAATTTTCAAAGTGATGAAAAGTGGAGATATGATGAAAAGTATGTGATTTGAAGTTATGAATTGGCTTAGTGATGAAAAGTTGATGAACAGCGAATTTATGAATGATTTTGAACTTCTCGAATCGATTAGGCAACATTTACTTGAAGATTGGGATTCCCTTGTGACAACAGTGCTAAAGCCGTCCGTTAAAATTGAGTCGGAAGTGATTGTTAGTTCGCTGGAGATATACGATTTCACCGGATTTACAGCGACGACGGAGGAAAAATTGGAAGTGAAAGTGAATATGGCGGAGGTTACCCTGGTGGTCGAGGTGAGCCCACCTGTGTTTATGGATCTTATGAACATTGAAGGGAAAAGATAAAGAAGGTAAAAGAAATAAATGGAAACATAATTTTTATTTTTTTTATAAATAAAATATTAATATGAAATAAATTAAATATTTATAAAGTTAATATTTTAATCATCTTTTTATCTCTCACTCTCCCAAAGAGAGTGAACTACACCTTCTTTGCCACATCAGCATTTAGGGAGCAAATAATTACACTTTAAAATAGTCCAAGGGGGTAATAGGACTCCCGTAAAGTATGAGTGTGTAGTTGGGAATCCGACTATAGGTTGGGGGTCTTTTGGCCATTATCTCAAATAATGAAGGCAAGAAAGATGCAAATTAATTGATAATATAAGTTCACAAAAGTTATTATTTACCTCGCAAGATTAGCAGCTCGAATTTCTTCCCGGAGTCTATCATATTCTTTCCAAGTTTCTTCTCTTCTTTTACGGGATTGTTCCATTGCTTGATCTGCTACCAAGACTCTTTGCCTCTGGCGGTCTAAATATCTATCCATTTGATCGAATACGGTGATCCATGCAGTACCTAACATCTGAACAAAAAGAAAATGTGATAAATGAGTGTCAGTCAGAGGCAAGGGCAACCCTTATAAACTTTGAAAGTAAATATCAACGACAATAAATTTTGAATACCGTCGACTGAACGAGATATTGGACAGTTGTCTGCATTGCTAGCTCCTCATCAACAGGATTATCATAGAATTTCTAAATTACATAAAAGAGATAGCAAGGGTTAATAGTTGGCTTGTCCAATGGAGGCTTTGCAAATTTAAAATTATTTTAGAACTTGCTACAGTTTTTCAGCCTAAATAAAGAATTAAATCATTTACCTGACCCATTTTGATGGTGGCTTGCCTAAATTTTGGGTACGAGGCAGCACCTTTTATCAGTCTCGAAGCTAAAGGCCGTGATATGGTCTTCACCGTGTCGTCAAAAAGCTTAATGAGTACTGACATGATCATGTCAAAAAGATACCTACAACAATTGTGAAAATCTTAGAGCATTCAATGAGATTACAAACCAGAATAGGGTTTAGGGTTTACGGTTTTAGGCTCCTCGTTCTCCCATTTCCCTTCCCAGTTTTAAAATTAAATAATAAAAGAAAAATACCGGGGATTAGGGAGAAATCGCCGGAATTCTACAACATTGACGGAAACGAAGGGAAAGGACTTGCAGAAGTTGTCTTCGTCAGTTTCCGAAATTTGGTGCTTAGTGGAAATTATTATTAATAAAAGGGTCGTTTGGTAATTGGTACATAGATTAATAACCCAAAGTTTAGTTAGACAAAGATTAATAATATCGAGATTATTTTTTAGGATAAACTACCTTATTAGACATACATTACTACTATATATACTAATAATATCTTTACTTTTAAACAATTACATATATTACCACTTTTAGTATTTTATACCATATATTAATATATTATTTGAAAATACTATTAGATACCCACATCCCTTAAAACTATTATTGATTAATTATCTGCTTAAATAACTCTTTCACTCCAAATCAACCACTATCTCTTAATTCTCCCCTCCTATGTTTATCACTCAATTATGTCTCCTCCTTTCTGATTCAAGAATTTCACCTTACAATTTCATTTCAACAATAGTTAATCTACTCTCTTCTTCTC